TTGTTGTTTGATTAACATGAATGACAGACAGTGGGAATATTAGACTGCTGTCAATTTAAGAGCTGCCCGGACCCAATATACTGTTACACGTTTTCTTTCTCAGCTGTTTGCTTTCACTTGAGAACTAAATTACTGTGTTTATGAGGATACTTACAAAGACGGGCATATTGACACATACAAGTGTGTGTATTTAACCATTCAAGGCCTATAAAGCGGCAAAAATAACTCCGTTCAATATTTACCCGCTCTCTATGAGCACTGTCTTCTCGTGCACACACCTTTCAGACAGCGTGCACATAGCCAAATGAGATCTCTTTTGCTGCAGATTGCGTTTCAATGGCTTAAAATCACTTGTTTTTAAACCGCAATGCTTAAAAGTTAAATACGTTTTCATGACCACATAGCACAGCAATGTCACGTGAGCGTTTAACCGCGATAGAGACGATAGTACAAAATCTCCACCAGTTGATAAATTTCTACCGGTTAATCATGTCTACCGGTATATCGCCCACCCCTATTTAAGACTATGACTGAGCATTGTTCAATTGACATAAACTGGGCTCAACAGAGGCTGATCTCTTCAGATAAGCAACCAAAGTATTCATAATATCCCACTAACTCTTCCTTAAGAGGATGTTCCACAATCCCCCTATATGTTCCCAATTCGGTCATAACTCTGAAATTAGGAAAAAACAAATTCATCCATAAGCCCATAACACTCAATTACTGGGCAGTCCTCTGACAATAGTGTTTTCAAGGCCTGTTTGAATTTGAGTAAACAAAACCAGGACATGTATTAAATAACTCTAAACATTTATATGCAGGCTGCACGCTTCAAATGGCTTTATGGGAAAACCATCATTCAAGAAGGTGCTTTGAGAGCAATTTATCAAACCTTTGATAATAGAGCATGACAATGCATTGTATGGAACAAAACACGAGGCCATTCATGCAGTGTTTGCGAGATTTCATCATCCTGCAATTTCTGCTTGTGCCTTTGTTTTTGTTTTGTTTTTTGGATAGATTTTGGTGTCCACTTTCAAAATCGGCAAAGCTGAAAGGAAAACCTGATGCCTTACCTTATGATTTTGTATTTTGCAAGAATATTCCTATGATAAACTAGACATAAACTGTCAAGATAAACAAAAAAGACAAATTCCAACACATTATATAAATCATATTAATCATGCTATTTCCCTAAATGCCTACAAAATGTGTTATCTTAACAGAGGGTTTCAGAATTACAGCAAAGCACTCATCTGTGTCTATAAGCAGAGACACTAAATAGATGCATCAACCTCAAGTGGTGTCAAAGAGTGTAATCCCAAGAGGCAAATATAAGGATGGAGAACAAAGAACCAGAACTGACCTGTTGACCACAAGTGTTTCCCTCTGTTACAAAAGCTGAGGCTATACAAAACATATAGTTTTTATTTCTAAGAAACCTTCTTCCTAAATTATCAATAATTGTGAAAATATGCATACATTTGTATAAAATGGTGCCATACAATATTTGGAAACTGAAGCAACAATTAAAACAATAGTTCACCCAAAAATGAAAAAATTGTTGAAAATATACTCATGCTCAGGCCATCCAAGATGTAGATGAGTTTGTTTCTTCATTAGATTTGGAGAAATGTAGCATTGCATCACTTGCTCACCAATGGATCTTCTGCAGTGAATGGGTGCCGTCAGAATTAGAGTCCAAACAGCTGATAAAAACATCACAATAATCCACAAGTAATCCACACCACTCCAGTCCATCAGTTAATGTCTTATGAAGAGAAAAGCTGTGTGTTTGTAAGAAACAAATCCATCAAGACATTTTTTAACTTCAAACTGACCATAATCCATAAAAAACACTTCCTCTAGTGAAAAAGTCCATCCCCTGTTCCACCCATATATTTGTTTAGAACTGTTTTGTCCTATCATTGCTTGTAAATGATGCTTGATCTGTGATTGAGCTGTGATCTTGATTGATTTGATTCAGGCAAAAATACTTTTTCACTGGAGAAAGCAATATTATGGATAAAGGACTTGTATTTTAGCCGTCAGCAATGGATTGAAGTTCAAACTGTCAGATTGATGTATTTGTTTATTACAAACATGCAACTTTTGTTGTTGACGTTAATTGCTTGATGTTCATTTAATTGACTGTAATTGACTGACGTTGTGTGAATTACTTGTGGATTATTATGGTGTTTTTATCAGCTCTTTAGACTCTTTCTGACGGCACCCATTCACTGCAGAGGATCCATTGGTGAGCAAATGATGGAATGCTACATTTCTCAAAATCTGTTAAAATGAAGAAACAAATTCATTTAAATTGTTTTTTATAAATTGTCATTTATAAACAAATATCAATATCAAATATCAATATCAATAGATAGCAAAATATCACACTAAGTGAATCATGTTTAAAGCCATGCAAACTTCTTTTTGTGAAATGTTTTGCTTGAAGCTTGTGTGTATTCTATCTTTCTGTAAATTAAATTTTATGTGGTTTCATATTTTATCCAATGCATTGGCATTCTATAATTTTCTAATGTGCCTTATGAGTGAAAATGGAGGGACTGTACTGTATAATCTGCATTGTTGAAAAATCAGAGGTCACCACCTCTTTTTAAGTTATATTTTGTTTTGTTATATTTTTAAAAGACCTTTAAAGAATCATGTGCCTGCCTGCAGGGCCCTTTTTAATTAAACAGACGCCCCCATCTCTCCCTCACACACCCACAGTAATCACATCATATCAGTGTGTTGATGTCATTCTCTGGGGAAGTGGTCTGACATGTGTCCCCATGTGCATTAGACAGATTATACGATCTATTATGTGGGCATATAGTTAATGCAACCCATACTACTTACAGCTATTTGAGAAGAAATTTTGGATTCCGCCTCTGACAAACTGTGGGCTTTATGTTCACCATTCACTCTGCTGTATTCAGGAGGCTGCTGAGAGGCCGATCTATTGCCCTTCTTCCTGTTCCCGGGGCCCTGATGGACGATGTTTAAGTAATGGAGTGTGCTCTCGTGTTCCCGGTCCGAGCTTTCCGCCTGACCGCGCACATAGCGGTCCTCGCAGGTGGAGTGATGGCGCCGGCACAGCTCTATTCTGGCACGCAAGCGTTCCACTATGGCACTGTGGAGCTGAGGAACGGCTGATCCTCTTGAAGTGGCGATTGGTGTGACTGATCCTCCCATCCCGACGCCCAACATGGGTGCAAAACCACTTGGGGTGGCCTGGGTCGGAGCCGCCTCTCCCATGACCTTCAGTTCCCTTCGTTAACCCTTTAATGGTCACACCCAGAAAAACAAGGGAAATTATTCATTCAATTTATTTGGGCAATAAAAACTTTGTACTTTGTTAGTTTTTTACGAAACTAGCATTTTTCACTTTGTCAGTTGCTGTTTTTTTTTTGTTTGTTTTGTTTTATGTGGAATAAATCTAATTTGCCCAAAAATGTACCCTGGAAACCATAGATTCTGCAAAAAATAATATAGACACTTTAGCTGTTATCAGGAATAATGCTGTCATAGCTTGATACATGCCACCTCTAAGAATATATTTTAATTAAAATGTTAATCTAAAGAAAATTATTTATTTCAGTGAAAATCAGTGATATTAATGCAGAACTGAAAGTGCACTTCTATCATTAATGAACATCTCAACCCGTTGAGCATGTTTTCTAAAAATGATTATCCTTTCACTAATATATAATGCTTGTGTTTGATTAAAGTTGGCACAAGAGAAAGCGTTCTTAATGCAACGCTGTTTGATTTGCTACTTAAACATTATTTAAACAATAGATGTTTTAACCTGATCACAAAGTGCATCCTGGTAAACGTCAAAAAGAAACGATTTTTAAAAGTTGTTACAAATGAATTTTAGTCAACGGTTGCGAAAAAGCTGACTGTGTCAGTTTTAATTAGTTACTACAACGTTGATAACACGATTTCGGGAACTGTGCGCTAAATATGGCTCTTTTTACATTACGTAAACATGTTGACGTTCTTACAGCAAAATGGAATGTTTGGGAAGCGTTTTGGAAAATACACTTGCAATGGAAGAACGCGAAATTACGAACATTTCTATACTCATACATATGTTCCAATGCATCTATTACGAAATTAAAATGTGCTTTCAGGATCCACAACTTCATTTTTGAGTGTCTATGCAGTATAACGCAACATTATTACAACACTATGCATTATTACTTTCCAGTGCACTGGGGTGTCTTGCAGCTTGCCAGGTTGCCAAAATCGCAGCGTGCGCTCATTCAACTCCATGCAAGGTGTAACAAATCCACAGTGTGCTATCAGAAGGCTTAGCACAGTCCTGCAGCAAGGAATAAACGCAATCACGCTAATGCATGCGGTTATTAGTCGGTCATACCCTAAGCCAAGGGTTCCTGTCAGCTGACAAAAAATACATGCAATTATAATCCATTTACTTGAAGGCAGAAATCCGCAAACTTCCAGAGAGTTCAGGCTGTGTACGAGCACTTCTCATCCTTATTATTTAAGAGGTTGTCCACGGTTGGTGATTCCCAAACAAAGTAGATAAAAGTGGCGTTGCAGCGCGCGGTGGATTGTCAGCAGTCCGAGCGCGTACGGGGTTAGTCCGGAGAGGCAGGCTTACCGCAGGCTGACTACAGACTCTCATTGTATGAGCGGTTCCCTCTTGCTCGAAAGCAGTCCTGAGATTGGTGAGCTGTCATTTTGCAGGCTCTAGTGGTGCCAGCAGTGAACTACATGAAAGCAGCTCGACTATACAACATACGGGGTTTGTTTGAGAGACAGCTGAACCAGCATGAGTGGAGGCCACACAGTATTTGTTATATTGAACGCGTCACTTAACGTGACATGTGGCCAAGTACGGTGACCCATACTAGGAATTAGTGCTCTGCATTTTAACCCATCCTAAGTGCACACACACAGCAGTGAACACACACACACACCGCGAACCCACACCCGGCGCAGTGGGCAGCCATTTATGCTGCGGCGCCCGGGGAGCAGTTGGGGGTTCGGTGTCTTGCTCAAGGGCACTTCAGTCGTGGTATTGAAGGTGGGAGAGAGCGCTGTACTTTCACTCCCTCCACCTACAATTCCTGCCGGTACGAGACTCAAACCCGCAACCTTTGGGTTACGAGTCCGACTCTCAAACCATTAGGCCACGACTTCCCCAAAATTACTGTTAATTATTTTATTTTATTTTTTTAATTATACACATACCTTATTAGGGGAGACCGGCTAGTCTCTCTTTTCATATAGACTACTGATGATCTAATGAATTAATTATAAGTATATACACCAGTGATATAGACTCATTCCTACAGTCTTGACTACAAAAAGCCAAGCATCAGTTATAGCATAACAGTTAATTTTACAGGTGTTGACCTATCGGGGCATGTCACAGTATGTGAGTTGCCACAACGACATCAATTTTCACTCATTAACAACATATTTGCAGTTAAAAGGTAATGAAGGATAATGAGTTATTTAAATACAACTTGTACAAAACAATTAATGAAACTATATCAGTTAAACGATAAGGATAGCCCATATTCAATACAAAACGTCACTGACAAAAACAAGTCTTTAAGTTTGCATCATAACTGTTGTTGGTCGTTTAACATTTTTATCGTAAAACTGTTGTCAAAATATTAACCGTTTAGCTGCATCTTACCTCGCACTGACCGTTAAAACACCGCGCTGGAATTCGCGCTCAGTTAAAGTAAAGCCCCGCCTCCTTTGATTTGATTGGCCATCTCAAACATTTTGAAATGCAAAAAGACCAATTCACTGTTATTTCTATTCCTCCAAAATATAATGTAATTTAATGAATTGCAACGTTTTGACCACAAGCGGTGTTCGGCAGACACAAACGGCAATCAACAGCTTTTGTGTCAACACAATGAACCATCACAACTGATAAGGTCGAGGTCAATCAATAAATTAACCAATCATCCTATAAAGTGAATAAACGAATGAAATCCAAGTATACATGAAGCAAATAAGGCAAACATACAAATAAAAATAAATAAATAAATACATACTGTCATATAGACCAATGGACTACTTGCACTGAGCCTCGTGACGCACTTCCGTTTTGAAATAATACGGCTCAGTTATTTCCGGTTATTTATATTTCCAATGTGCCATAATCATCTAGTTGACTTAAATGTCTATTAAAATGAGAGTTCGCGGGATGATTTCAAAATCCAGACATTTTCAGAGACAGGAGAAGAGATATTCTGATTACTGTGTGCAGAATTTTCCAAACTCAACGGAACGTTAAGTTTTAATCCAACATAAGCCGATCTGATAAAGCAGTGGCTGGTAAACATACGTGACTGTTTCACCACAGCAGGGCTCTCAAGTCTCACGCATTCACCGTGAGACAGACGCATTTCAGCCAGTTCACATGCTCACACGCCATACCTTGTATTTCTCACGCTGAGAAGTAAGGGATAACTTGTCCCGCTATATACAATTAATGGACAAGGCACAGGCATACGGAGGGAAGTTCTCTGCCGAGATCATAGCTGTCTCGAGTTATACAGAGTTAAATGCCACCTACCAGCCAATATCAGAAATTAGAACCCGAGTCTGGGTACTGAAACTGGGCCAACACCACCGGCATTGGGCCACTCGTCGGTGTGATTGTGGCCCAATGCCGGTGGTGTTGACTCAGTTTTAGTACCCAGACTTTGGCCAGTACCGGCTAAGTGTGTCAATTCTTGTCGGCGTGATTGTGGCCCAAT